AGAGAGAGAGAGAGAAAGATGCAGGATCGAGCACCGCGACCACTACGCGGACGTATGTTTCTGAACATTATTGAGTCTCCATACCTATATCCATGTGCCATACACATGATCGTGTGTTTCCTGGAACAAGGCTTAGAATCTGGGCTCTATATTCTAGGAGAAATTTATTCGTATCACGAACTACGGGCACGAGAACTACGAGATTGGTCCGCCTTGGCGGCGGAGAAAAGTCAGGATGTTTACTGGAACCGTATACTGGATGTTACTCCGAAGCGCGGCCTGCCAGCCAGCTATTCGTCGTGAAAAGGCGATTGCGAGATATTTGCGGGGGTATCCCGCGGGCATTCGCGCTCTTTGAGAGCGCGAGGCTTACATAAATGTTCTCGCGATGCCACCGACTGGCGCGGACCGGCGATTATCCGCGTCGCGCGGCAATAAAAAGGTGAGCGTTTTCAATTACGTTTCTCTACATGGCCATTCGCGGTTCCATAATCCCGATTCCGAGATGATAGACGCGGATACACGCCCGTGTTTGATGTATTTCGAAGAGGGCACCGACAATTTATCCCAAGCCTACACATATTCGTCTCACGTGGCCACCTTGAAAGGCCAATCCCCTCAGATCATGTGTATTTTTTTTTTTTTTTTTTTTTTTTTTCAGAATATCGCGTCTCCTTCGCGCATGACAGAATAGAATATATTACGTACATTAAATAGAAACGTATTTAAATTTTACAATCGCATTTAGTTTAAATGTAGCACAATTAAAGATTAAAAAGTGTAGCACAACTAAAGATTAAGAACTCATAAGAGTTATTAGAAGACAACGAAAGTATTGAATTGAGCGAACTTTGTTCTTTCTTTCGAATCGAATGGAATTTTTTATCGAAGGGAAAATTTTCCAATCCTTTCAAATTCCTAAAATTGAAATTAATCTTCAATTCGTAATATCATTTTTAAGAAACTTTTTTCCTCTTTTAAAAAAGTCAGATTTATGTTCGCAATAAAACCAAATGAATAAATTGCATATTGTATCATTAATAAAGAGAATCTATACATAAAAAACGCAAAATTTCTTTTATTGCTTATTAATTCTGTTTATTATTCGCTTTAATCAATTTTATATAAGCAAAAATAATATTTGCGAATTGAATATTCAAGAGAAAAAACGAAAAAATTATTATCGCTTATAATTTTCATGATGAAATTTTCACCATAAATTATTGAAACTATCGATTGCTAGTTGAATGAAAATTAAAATTAGCAAAGAAGAATAATGCAATTATTTGTACTATATAAATAGGGTTTACGACAAGTACTGACACGCGCTACGAACTGTAACAAGGACAAGCGGAAACCAGATAAATTGTCGATATTTCTTGAAAAAAATAATGACCCACAAATTTAATGATTATGAAAGTTTATTTACCGAATCCAATCAAAAAATCGCTTTCTCGCGCACGTAAGACGCAATATCTATTTCAAGAAAGAAAAATCATAGTGAAAAATCATACTTATAACGTTCCTCATCATTCCCGTCGTTTTTTTATGAAGAGACAATTATTGTATTCGATCCTAATCCGCAGAAATGAAATTTTGTTATGGTTCGTTAAGCGACTGGCGTAATTGCAAGAATAATTTTCATCAGATTGTATAGACGCAAAGTAATTTCTATCTTCAAATTTGTTTTCCGTATTTATTATTTCATACACACATTCAATCCCAAATTATTTTAATTAATAAGTTGCTAATATCATCCGACCTAGCTTTTATTTATCAAATTACTGTGCATATCTAAATAATTCAAGAAAATTAATATTTTAATATTGACTTTAATATTATTTATATAAATTACATATTTATTTATCACATGTAATTGTTATATAATATTTAGTTAAAGTATTAATGATTTAACAATCATTCTTGAT